TGACGAGGAAGCCCAGGAAGGTCAAGCTGCTCTCCACGGAGTCCCTGGTGGGATACAATGAGCCGTTCAACATCATCAAGGCAGAGAGAGGATTAATTGGTACAAACGGCTAAAAATCCATCGGGGGGGGCAGACAGAAACCGCTTCGGTAGGAGTTTAGGGTTTAATTCCTTGCAGGCTGCAGGGCAGCAGAGTATCCTGTGAAAAGCTCGGAGCAAACAAGGTCTAAACAGTGAAAAAAAAGGTGTCGGCACCAACCTGGGGAGCTGCAGGGCTTCCTCGAAGGTGGTCACTGCGCTCAGGGGTTTGCAAGCCAGACCCAAGACCCGGAAACCATCCGTGGTGTAGTGTCGCAGCATCTGGGAGAAATCCACGGGCACTGCCAGTCAGGAGTGGAAAAAAGGAGGTCAAAGCATTTTCTGAACAAACCAGGGTCGCACAGACCCGGCGCGGGGAGCCAGGGCTCGAGTTCCCAAAGGCTTTGGATGCTCATCCGGCAACATCCCCCGGCACGTACCTGTCTCCTTCCCGCAGAGGCTGGCCACCATCTCCGGCGCGCCCTTGACGTAGACGTGGGCTGAGGCTTCTCCGGGCAGCTTCACCAGGACACTCATCCTCTGCAAGGAGGAACACTCATCCTCTGCAAGGAGGAGGAGAAGGGGAAACGCCGGAGGATCCCCACGGGCGACTGGTGCTTCTGGGGAGGAGAGGGAGCGGGCGTTGGGGGCCACAGAGGAACCTCTCCGGGAGGTACGACCTCGCTGGGGGCTGTGGAGCGCGACGACCCTTTGCGGGCGCAGACCTCGTGGACCTGAGCTGCTCTGCTCCACAGGACCTACCCTGTCTCGCGGTTGTTCTTCCTCGGGGGGAGGTCTCATCACAGCCAAGACCTTCGTCCCAAACTGCTGCGAGGTGGGCAGCTCACCCTCCTCCTCCTCCGTCATCTCCAGGCGCTGAAACCAAGGGTGACATTGAGATGGCGAAGCTCCATCCACCCCAGAGGGGCCCACGGATGGTTTTCAACCCCTCAGCTTCTAGATACATCCCATCACCCTCTTTCCAGGTATGCAGCTTGCGTATCTTGTCTTACCCAGCCGGTGGACTCCATCATCTTGAGGTCCACAGGGTCCCCGACGGGCTGTCCCCGCAGCAGGGACGTGGTGTGGCAAGTGGCCAGGGAGTAGAGCAGGGGCCCGGCGGGGAGGCACCGGGGCTCGTGAACGATGGGCATGAAGTGGTTGTTCTCCGGGGGCACCACCCCCCAAACGGACAGCCCTTCCCCCGTGAGGGGG